CCGCCCCCCCCCCCCCCCCCCCGAGGCCAATGGAATCTACACTAGCGAAATTTCTGCCATGCATAGTTAGGAATAGCGTTACAGTGTGTCCCAGCTATAAGTCTCTGCGGTAAACATCTGTTCCGCACTAAAGTTGTTGATGCTTGTAGGAACTGATGTGTTATAAGTCTTCCCATTCCCTGCTCTTAAGTTGCACAAAGAAAACCCCAATTTGCACAATGGAAATCAGTTGCAGGAAAAAAATTCCCCGCTTTAATTTGTTTCACAATAAGTCCAAGTTTTTTGGAATGTATCTTGGACTTATAGCAAGGATGGTCTGCACTCCTCATGAAGAACAGGAGACTACAGGATTTGATTCCCGCAGCTCCTAAGACAGAGCAACAGGCTTGATAATGCGGATGAATTGTTTATATAAATGACCATGGGGAGGGCTAAATTTGGTGTGAAGTCCTAGTGTAGACCAGATCGAGGAGAGTAGGCTTCAGTTGCCAAAAGTGTGGCTGCTTCTTTAGTGCCCTAAGAGGGACTGGCTGCATCTGGGTCCTTGGTCTCATTTACAACAAGCTTTCTTCAAAGAACGTGAGCACGGCCCAACTGTGATTTATGAGTGCAAGCAGTGACAGCTACTCTACTTACTAAACACAACAGTCAGCTTTTGTAGTCTGCTTTGCTTATAAAAAGAAAGAGCTCTACCAAGCATGTAATCAGTGTAGCTAATATTATCCTAGAATGCTTTCATGTCAGTAGAGAGAAGACTGTTTCAGTTCTTTAATTATGTTTTCAAAGCAAAAAGGCAAGTATATTTTCATGACTAAGTAGTTATGTTTTGACAATCCTACCTTCTCCTGAAATTAAAGCTTAATTTTATGTAGGTCCATATGGTTTTGTTTCCATTTGATTACTCTGAACTGTGAATTGTATTAATTAGTATACTTCTGATTTTGCTGTTGCAAAATAGGTAATACTAGGAATTGTGATGAGTTTAAGGATATATGAAGCAAAATGCAGGACAATGTAGCACTTTAAAGACTAACAAGATGGTTTATTAGATGATGAGCTTTCGTGGGCCAGACCCACTTCCTCAGTTACATTTACCTATTGCTCCATACTCAGCCATCAAGTACATATTGTATGAAATCTTTTGCATGGTTGATGATTTGCAGTTCAAATTTTTAAAAATACATAATAAAATCTTAGTCTTACAAAATATTAATAGTGCTAGGGATTCAGAGCACAACCAAAGTGAAGAAAAACCTGGTGTGTATACACCCCACCCTTACCTCAAAATAAGATAAGCTATGCAAATTGTGTAGCATAAATTGCCTATTTCGAGTTAGTTTTGAAATAAAGCACTATTCCCAAACGTCTCTTACTCCTCATGGAATGATGGTTACGGGAACATTGGAATAAGCTGCCCATTATTTTAAAATAATGGGCTGCTTCAATAGACATGGGATAGCTATTTTGGGATACTTCCCAAATAGCTCTGCATACTATAGACATAGCTGCCTTTGTTTCTTTGTAAGAAAACTATTATTTTTAAATGGATCTACAAATTATATGATCTGTTCATTTATATTTGATTATAATTTTTCATAGATTCATGTGTTTAAGATTCTAACGGTGCATTATATTATCTAGTCCAGGGGTGGCCAATCCATGGATCACGAGCCCCATGCCACTCTTCCCCCCTCCCCTTTAAGTGCGGCTCACGAAGCCTCCCCTGTTCCTCTAGAAATGGTCCCCAGCCCCCGGCTCCCTGTGTTCACTGGGGCAGGGGAGCCGTCCGGTGCGGCAATTCAAAATGGCGTCACCAAGATGGCAGCCGCTGCCGGGAGCCAGATGTAGCCAAAAATCCTTGTCTTTTAAAGGGGCAGCATCCCCCTCTTTTTTATGCTCAACAACTCTGGGGGGTTGGTGGGAAGCTCTTCCTTTTTTGTTTTTTTGCTCAACAAAAATTGCTCAAAAAATAATTCTGGTGCGGCTCTTCGCATTTTTTCTGCCACTGTTTTGTGTCTGTTTGTTTAATGGGTTGGCCACTCCTGATCTAATCTAATCTCCTATATGATACAGGCCATAGAAGTTCATCAAAGTAACTCATCATTGAGCCTAGTAACATGATTGATGAAAGCATATATTCTACAGTGGCGTTCTGTTTTCTAAAAAGACATTAAAGACAGTAAGAGATGGGAAATCTCTTGCTTCCCTTGATAGGTTGTTCCAGTTTTCACAACATTCACTGCTAATGTTTGTTTGCCTGGTTTCTAATTTGAAATTGTCCATCTTTAACTTCCAGCCATTGGTTCTTGTTATGCTTCCTTTCTCTGCTATATGAAAAAGTACTTTGGTGCCTAGTATTTCTTCTCCATCAAGATACTTAAACATCATAAGCAGGTCACCTTTCTGTCTTCTTCCTCCATAAACTTTTAAGTTTTTTAAGTCTCTCACTGCAAGGTATTTTCTAGGCTTCAGATTTCTTTGCTTTTTTATTTATCCTGTCCAATTAGTCTATGTGTAGATGTAAACTTTACAATTGAATAAAATTCAGTGAAAGATTTGAATATTAAATATAGAGATTCCTTGAGAACTTTCCATGTGTCATAAAAGCATGCTATCAATTCCACTATTTGCGTCAAAAGACAAATCCCAAATTTCTTCTAGTTATCTCAGTTTGAAATACATTTCCATCCACTGGGGTACTTTTTACTCCTGTCCCTCCCTATATGAGAGCTATTTGTATTACCTTTGTCAGTATGGCTATACGTATCATGTGATCCTGGAGAATGCACACTAATCAATGTCACTTTCAATGATATTTTCTTTGTCACCTTTATAGCAGGCCTGTTCTTCGGTCATCTCAATCTGTTTTTGGCATGGAAGTGTAGTATAAAATGGCACAGTGGCAGCAGAGTTATGCTATTTTCAAAGACCGAGTCTCTTATGACTTCAGTGTCATTAATATGAATCACTTCTTTATATTTACAGAGTACCATGCTGCCATTTTGCAATTAAAGAGGGAGCACAAGGAAGAAGTTGAAAAATTAAAGGTACATTTTTAAATTATGCTGATCAGTTATATAGTTGATTTTTTCATTCTCTATATCTTGTGCAAGTTGCAGATTTAAAAAATTCGGAATGTGGTTATTTTCTATTAAACATATTTTTGTTTTTCTCTCTAAATAAAAGCTAGTTTTCAGCAGACAGACAGCTCAATTAAAGTTAATTTACTTGAAATCTGTATGTGGATCATAAATCATGTTTAAAGGGAGGGATATAGCATTTTTTTTCAAATTTTCCTTTTGTAATCCTGATGACTGTATCACTGCTGCAGGGCACAGGACAAATTCAACCCTCATCCATCAGCACTGTAATTTGTAATCTCACTTAGCATATTAAAGCTCTGATTTAACTCATTGCTTTCCAATTAAGCAGCAGCATGGATTTATTATAAAGCACTTTTATGTTCCAAACAGTGACTGTAGGAATTGCATTTGTGGGGCTGTTTGTCTATGATTTCATATTTTACTATTTTATGAGTAAAAGAATGATTGTATTCCTAAATGCTACCTGGTACCACCTCTGTACCACCACAGCTACTTGCGGAAGCAGCAGCAACCGACTAGAGCTCTGGGTCCTTTAAAGAGTCGCTGAAACATGACTGAGGCTAGTCTCCTGCCCCTTCTGAGGGCACCAGAGCTGAGTCTGTTGCCAGCCCTGTCGCTGGTAGATTACTGAGCTAGAAGTGAATGGGGAGGGAGCATACAGCAACATGTGGTGTGGGGTAATTTGATATGGGGATGGGGAAATGAGGAGCATATAGTATCCCTGGCATGAGAGAAGAGATGGATTTAAAATTAGTAGATTGAACTGTTGTATCACTAGTTCAATCTAACTCCTACAAATCTATTAGGAGTAAGGGGGAAAGTATTCAAGTGAGGAAGCAGGGTAGAAATTTGTCAGAGATTAAATGGGAGAAAAGGACAAACATGCTCTGGAGACCAAAGGAGGCAATGTTAAATGCTCACTTCTGCAACCACGAAGACAGTAGTAGTGGAGGAGCCTGGGACACTTACTAAAACTATACTGTGAATCAAGTGACTCCTAGGATAAACATCAGTAGCAATGAATGTGAAGGCAAACTCACATTAGGGCTAAGTCTATACTGCCAGTTTTGCTGGCAGTGAGTATGCAAATGAGGCACAGATTAGCATATCTCCATCCCTCATTTGCATAATTTATGCAAGCTGTTTCTGCGCAAAGGGTTTTTGCAGGGGAAAAAAAGTAGTGTGGACATTTTCTTTTTGTGCAAAAACCCCTTTTCCAGGCAGATCCTTATGCCCCCAAAAAGGAGGTTTACCGATCTGGCAGGAAAAGGGGTTTTTACACTAAAAGAAAACATCCACGCTACTTTTTTCCCCCACAAAAACAGTTTGTATAAATTATGCAAATGATGTGCAGCAATATGTTAATCTGTGCCTCATTTGCATACTCACTGCTGGCAAAACCAGCAGTGTAGACGTAGCCTAGAAGTGGAGGTATGGACCCATAGCTATTTTGTATTGCTCAAATAGAAATAGTCAAAATGTAGTAGAGAGGAAGATGAGGGTCCATTCCTTCCTTTCTCCCTGTAACATAATCAGTTTGTTTCTAGGAAGTGAACTAGACGGTTATAGGAAAGTAGAGAGCTACAACAATACCATTGTAGTTTATCCTGCAGACTTTAGATCAGCACTCTTAAAGCAAATTTGTAATCAGCAGTAGCAATGGTTACTTTTCTGATGACCTTTCAAAACTGTGGTGATTTGAGGAATGCTAGCACACTTTGTGAATTGCATTTGATATTGGGAGTCTGTGTGGGTCTGTATCAGACTCTGTTTCAGTATGGGGCTTTCTGCCTTCTCTATTGTCTTTTTGCTTCCATATTGGATTGAAATTCTAAGAGGTGATGATACAGGGCTAACAAAGTGAGCCATTAATCTATATAGTCCCCTTGAAATAGGAGCACCTTAGGTTGTGGAATAGTTGATATTTCACCAGACAGAAAGAGAGAACAAAGAGAGGCTAAGAGATTGAGAGGAGACTCTCAAACAAGAAGCTGAGGTGTCAGAGGGGAAAAGCAGAGCATGCTTTCATAATGGGGAATTCTTCTAAACTGTGGTTTGAGCTGAGAGAGATAGAAAATGATTGCAAGGTGTAGGAAAAAGAGTCCATTATTTGAAGCCATGTTCAGGAGGAAAGTTGCTGGGCTCCTTTATAGGACTCTGACCAATGCTCAAAGGAAGCTCGAGATAGCGAGGCAGAGAGAAGCTTGAGATAGCGAGGCAGAGAGAAGCATATAGGCATGTTAATTGTCATGTCAACTGCAGGTTGTTTGGTTTTTCAGAACCCTTACCAAATCTGTATGTGTGTCTATTTCACAGTCACATGTTCCTGAAGAAAAGGTT